TYTTAGTATGGGCAGTCTTTTTGAAGACACTAAATTTTTCATCTTCGTTATTCATCTCGGATTTTTAGGTGAAAGAGTAGGGTGTATCCGCGTCTTGTTCTTGGTTGTTAACTTGTCGCCAAGAGTGGGGTCATCTACTTCAGCCTCTTCTTCCACCTCCAGCAAGTCAAGCACAACAACATGTGCTTTCTCTTAGRGAGTTTCAGTTGTATGCATATGTAGGTGATTCGACAACAACCAAATGTGCTTAAATTTATCATATTCTGAAGTACAAAGAGAATRTGCGATTTCGTGGTCCAAYAATCTGTGTAGAGATTTTATTTCAACGACGATTCATGGTGAAATATTCCCACAATAGCGTAATTTCGTGATTCCACAGTTCAAAAGTGGGCACACAAAAATTCTTATCGCCTGATTTGTTTCRGAMTCTTCAAMAAATTCAGGCTGTGGTAATATGGATGAACGGGGAAAGGGGTGGGGTGAAGGTAGTGGTGATCGACTTGGTGAGAGATAAGGCTTTGTGTTGATGAAACCGAGCGCATCATTGTGTTAATTCATTAGAGGATAAATTGTAAGTTTAAGCTACTAGTATATGTTAATGTTTTCGTAGGGGTATATGTTGAGCAAACRAATGATGATGGAAGAAGAAGAAGTTCTGATGATGAAAGAGGAAGGAGTGTAAATTTACGGTATATCTTATATTTTGTAGGACTAGTGAATGYCGTAATCTCTTTGTGACACTATTGGTTTGAGAAGGGGATAKGAAGTATGGGTCCAAAACACGTCAGTATGTCATTTTATCAGAGCATGTCACTGGAATGGTGTAGGGGCTCAGTCCGAAGTCAAACAGGCTGCAGAAAAATGAAGAAGGTGGCTTATTGCGGTATACTACGAACTTTGATGAACTTGATTCGAGACAAAAGGAGAACACGACATAGATAGACGGATAGATAACTAGATAGACACCTGTGTTGTCACGCGGGGATTCCCGCATCCCAAGCAGGGGTAGTAGTGGGAACTTCACAGGGTTCAGCCAAAACCTTCAGAAATCTGTCGAGTAGGTTTTGGATGCTTATTGGGATCGGCGGGGGKGGGGGRTCAGAAAAAGGATCACCTAGATCAGGTCGCAAATTCTTAGTGAAGACAACCAAATATGAAGTAGATTCATTTGTAATAGAAGTACTTGGTGTATGGATAGAGATAGATTTATCATGCAAAGTTGAATTATTATCGATCGCAAAAGTAGAAGGTACATAAGTAGGACGAACAAAGTCGACATACAATTGTTCATCCTCGTTATGCTTGCGTCATTTCTTGTAAAACTGCATGGCATTAAGAAAGGCTACCGGGGAGTCAAACTTCTCATCCAAGAGGACGGGACACTTGTTCCATTATGCATGTTTAACCACGAAAACCGATTTCTTCCACTTAGTACATTCGCATTGGGACTGCAACCAGTCAACCCGAGGACTGCGTCGAAGGGACACTTGTCAAGGGCATTAAAGTTCAATGCGTGTGTGATAGTTTTGTCTTTGTCAAAGTCAGTGCGCATATCTTTGACTTCATATGTAAATGTGACAACCTCTTTGTTGCGTACTTAAGTCTGGCAAGAGCTCTGTAAAGTTACTTGCTTCATCCGTAAACTCACTTTGTGTATCTCGTGTAGTGACTTGAAATAAGTTGTGGCACCTTGATCAATCAATATACATAGATAGTGGTGGTTAATTAAAAGTTTGAAGTAAATTAACTTCACTTTCCCTTGAGCAGGTGGTTAATTAAAACAACACCGTGCCCTCCACCAATGAGCACTTCCGAGTGGAAGTACCTCGTGGCAGGGCCCCAAACTTAACCTCGTGGACAAGTTCCCTCTAGACTTTGGTCCCATGAATGGGTCTGATGACCGATAACGTGATTTTCCAACCCCAACGGTTTTTTTCCCCCCTGAAAAATGGGCAAACAAAATTGGCAGTGCGGATGGGGGTTTCCGACTGCAATGGGCACCCCCCCATGCCACAGAAACAGGGTTGCCCCCCCTACCCTGCCTGGCACAACGTTTTTTGGCAGGGTCGCTTTAACGCCGTTGAGTTGGGGGTAGGGAGGTCAGACGCTGCTCTAATTTCAAGCTGGGACCCCCCGTTCAACCTTCCGCCAGACAATCTTTAAATGAAACGTTGGTCCGCACAACTGCTATAGGAAAAAATGTAACCACACAGTTGTCTAATTACTTATAAAGGAGGTTCAATAACCAACGTGAAAAGAAGATGGCCAATATCTGATGCGTAGGCAAGCGAAAAGAAGTTTCGTTATGAAAGAACCGAAAGAGCAGAAAAACATGAAATCCCTTCAGACAATCACTGAGCGTGAGAGATAATCGTCATATGGAAAGACAATAATAGCTGGTCATTCGCAGTGATTGTTGGAGAAAGAGTACGATGCAATACTCGAGAGTCAAGCGCAAAGAAGGAGTGATAGAGGATTCAAAGAAAGGATGATTGCACTCATCATATGTGAAAATCCACGCACAAATAGGGGAAGGAGGGAGTGCGGAATGAAGTAATCAAACACAAATAATTGCCACAAGAATTGAAACCATTCATACAAAAAAAACAATATATCCTGCCAATAGAGCTGAAGAAACCTTGTATCACACCAGTAGTATACTTGTAGGGCATGCCTATGTAAAGTGAAGCGGTTTTTTTTTTTTTTTTTTTTTTTTCTAACAGCCTCTCTAGTGTTAGTGGTGCTGGTAAGAGCAGACACCACTAACACCTTGAGGAGAGACTCCATCTATTGTATGGGATCATTACCTGCTGGAAAACGGGTCTTGCGTCCTTGATACAAAATGAAATAAAGTTTAATCAGAAAACAGGAAAACTTGACAGCGTATTTGAGAAGAGTCTGCCATCATTGATTATTCTGGATTTCCATATGATTAACTGAGCAAGGTGCTAAAGGGAGTTGCTGATGACGATCCTTTCCTCTCCAAATATGAAGGACTCCGGTCGGGTCCCGCCTCTTGGCGAGGCGACGCTGTGGGACCACTGGGGGGCACCAACTGAACCACCTGTCTCCCCGCCCTTCTTCAACTAGTCTGTGGAGCCTCCCTTCTGCGACCAGGATAAATGAAAGTATGATGAGAATTGAAACTGCCGTTTTGAGAAAGCACCTCCCGCATCTGTCCCACCCCATACGTATTTCCAAGGCCCGTGTGGGGGGGGGGGGGGGGAACAGGTCTTGACACTCCTCTGCAAGTCTCATGGGGACAGTAGAGCCGATGGACAACCACTCCTTGAACCTCAAATGGTAATCTCGTGGCACTACATCCCCTCCTTGGCTGACTTCCCCGCCGTCCCCTCCTTCCCAATTCCCTGTCCAACAAACCTCCGCTACCCATCCCTTCCGGTCCCCACCCAGCCATTCCCTGGAGAAATGTAATAGCCGTTCCCGGATGTCTTTAAACCTATGGAGAGTGTCTAGTGAAATCTTAGTTGACTTTCATCTGTGCATGATCTCTAGTTGAAAGCTGTTTAATTTGCTCGATCCTCTCTTCTCCTTCTATGTGAATCTGATCCATAGACAAAACACAGCGCTGCCACCATAAAACCCACAGGATCATCCTTCAACTGCCATTTCGTCAAAATGGACATCTTTTATTTTTTGAACGAAATTGAAACCGAGTTTTTTGGCCGAAAACTCGTCAAAATTTGTTGTTCCTGAGGGTCCCGCGTTTGTAAAACGCTGGACCCCTTGGCTGTACATGGACCTAGCTTGAGACCAGGTACCTCCAGGCATACCGCGATCTTGACATCGGCTTAACTAATGTGATCGAGCATGCTATTCTCACGGGAGACCACCCACCCATTAGCTGCGTTCCTTATCGATACTCGTCAGCTCAACGAGCGGCCGCTTTTCAGCGGATTAAAGAGTTCGAAGCTAATGGATGGATCGAACCCGCAATAGGTACCTGGTCTTTTCCCGTAGTAATCGTGCCTAAAAAGGCCGGAGGGATTCGCATTTGCATTAATTATAGAAAGTTGAATGATATCACGATCAAAGGTGTGTACCCCCTCCCCCGGATTGATGAGTTGTTGGATGCGATTGTGAGTGCTCGATTTTTCAGCAAATTTGATGTTCGCCATGGGTTCCATCATCTTCTTTATCGAGAAGAAGATCGTCCGAAAACAGCATTTGTGTTTTTTGAGGGTACGTGGCAGTGGATTCGATGTCCGATGGGTATCTGCAACGCCCCCGCGGCCTTCCAGCGAGCCATGAACATGGCTTTTCAGAACTTCGTACGGAAGACTCGTTTGGCGCAGATCATCATCATCTACTGCGTGATTGTGTACATGGATGACATCTTGGTGTACTCGAGTTCCTATGCGGGACACATGCAGCATATCGAATGGGCACTGTACGCGTTAGGAGATGCGGGTTTCAAAGTGACGCTTGAGAAGTGTCAGTTTTTTCTTACCACCATTTCCTTCTTGGGACACGTGGTGACAGACAAGGGACTCCAACCGGAGCCGCAAAAGGTGGCAGCTGTCAGGGATGCGCCTGTGCCTACAACTATTACGCAAGTTCGCGCCTTTCTGGGCCTGGCCTCGTACTACCGAAGATTTATCAAGGGCTTTGCGGCGATTGCGGGACCCCTCACAAATCTGTTGCGCAAAGATCACCCGTCGGTCAGGACGCCGGAGTGCGATCAAGCGTTTTCCAAACTCAAGGCCGCTCTCATTTCGGCTCCGGTCCTTATAAGACCGGATCCCGAAAAACCTTTTGTTCTCATCACTGACTGGCAGCCAGAGGCAATTTCGGCGATCCTTGCCTAGGTGGGACCAAGCGGACTCGAGAGTGTGGTGGAATATGCGTCCAAATCGGTGCCCGCTTGCAAGCGCAACTACACCGCTCCAACGGGAGAATGGTACGCGGCTCTCTAGGGAATCAGTCACTTTCGCGTTTACCTGTACGGACGAAAGTTCACCCTGGTAACTAATCATGAGCCCCTGTTGGCTCTGAAGAAATTGAAGGATTACTCGGGCATGATCGGGCGATGGGCAACAATGCTGCAGAGCATGGACTTTGACATTCGTCAACGGAAGCACGAAAGACACGGGAATGCGGACGGACTAACACGACTGCACCGGCCTGAGAAAGTTCCGAAGAGTGAGGAAGTGATTTCGTGGAACGAACCCGGACAGGAGATCGGACCTCGCTACGGCCAAGTGGAGATCTTGTCCAAGCAGTAAGTGACACAAGGATGAATACGACTGATTCTACCCTCTCCGCAATTCGGTCCCATCTCTCTTCCTCTGTCATCATAACTACCCCACTCGCCTCCGCAACCCATTCATCTCCTACTAATTCTGCCCCTCTCACGTCCTCAGCTTTCTTTGCCCCTCTCCCCGATAAATTATGTTATTTTTGCACATGCATTGCACGGGTTTATGGGGTCGACTGCCATCCTTTTGAAACCGGGTTTGTCGTCTGGGTAGAATGTGTCACGTGTGCCAATCGTGTGCACGGGGCCTGTGTTCGATATCGGACGAGTAGCAAAGAGTGGAGGTGCCCCCTATGTAGAACGAACAAACGCCCCACGGAGGTTCGATTCGAGGCCGCCCGTACGGACGGCCCTGAATACGATGAAAAATACCGACGAGCGGAGGTTTGGACGGATAAAATTTTATTGGCGAAATTAGCGGGATTATCATGGGGTCACCTCACCAAACACGACAGACGTAAGGCGACCGAGAGATCTCGGGACTATCGATGGATCAACGGTCATTTGGAAAAGCGTAAAACTGACGGATCGGGTTCGTGGTTGACGGTTCCCCATCCATTCCTGAGATATGATTGAATCCGATCTGCTCACGAAGAACAGACCGCTCATTTCGCGATACCTGTCACGGAGGCAACTGTAGACCGGAACCGATGGTTCTGGTCCAATATACGGGATGATTTCAAATACATTGTCGTCAACTTCCTAGTCTGTGTCGCTGATCGCGCCCCAATACGGGAACCAAACACGATAGTACTAATGGAAGTAGAGCGTCCTTTCCAGCGAGTCAGTATGGACACGACAGATATCGACGTGCCACCTGACCCCAACCGCTGTGAATATTCTATCCTGTTAGTATTAATAAACCATTTTTCCAAGTACGTCGAAGTCTATCCCTGTAAGACTCGAAAAGCCGCAGAAAAAGCCACGTACATCGGACGGTTCCTCTATACCCATCTAGATACGGCAGAAATTCTAACCGACAATGGGTCTGAATTCAAGGGTGAGGTGGAAGAACTGCTCGCGCGAAGGGGCGTCATGCTCCGACATACGGCACCCCACGTGTCCGAGTCGAATGGGTTGGCTGAGAATGCCAAGCGTATGATTAAAACCGCCCTTGGTAGGAATTTAGCGGCACACGACACGCGTCCAAGGCCCGAGATCGTATATCAGATCGTCGGGATCCACCGGGCCACCCCTCACGAGTCCACGGGGTTTACCCCTTTTCAACTTCGTACTAATAGCCTCCCCTGTGTCGACTACCGGGGTAACTCGGAAATTGCCGAAGCAGGGGGTAGAGACACGCGTACAACCCTCAAGGCCAAGGCAAAAAGGTACACCGAATTAATGGAACGGGCCGTCCCGAAGCTAGCCCGAAAAAGGCAGAGGATGACCGAATTGGCCCACGGTAGACAGGTCCATAGCTACGAGGCTCGGAATGCAAATGCTGGGCCCCAGCATCAATATAAATTAGGGGACCTAGTGCAGGTACGTAAATGTGCACGCGACCGAAAACTCGCTCCCAAGTTTTATAGCTGTTTTCATGTTGTCGAGCTCGGACCCAACGGCGTTAACACGGTGTGCATCGCGCCTGAGGCCAGCACCAACCATAGCTCTGTCCCCATCGTCCGGCATACCTCCTACCTCCGTCTTCTTCCTCCTTCAGATCTTCCTCCCTCTTATTCCTCAGAAAGTGAGGAGAACGACGACGGTCTAACTCTCTCTCCGCTCTCTCCCTCCTGTCCTTCGTCCTCCTCTCCAACCTCGCCATGAGTTTCATCACGGAGCGGGCTCTTGGCGAACAGCTGTTGCAGCCACGTGGCCACATCTCAGAGATTCGACAAGTTTGTCACCCTCGGCTCAATACGGATCTTCGGCGTTTGGCGCAATTTTTCTGCGACGGGGGTGTGTGTGTCGCCGCCACGTTTCGAATCGAAGGGAGTCCTCACGCAATAGTATTTGCGGAGGTGATCGCAGTTCATCGGCGAGTGGCTCCCAGAACGAGCCACGTCACCACGGTTGCGGCATTCAGCAGCGACATCAGCTCGCCGGTCAATCCGCAGAGGCATACCGCGATCTTGACTTCGTTGCGCGAGTGGATGGAGTAGGTGTCCGACGTGTGGCAGCACATCCTCGCCCGACCTGGGCATAATCTCATTCCTACCTTTGTGCCGAATCTTGGCGACATCCGCCATTCTCCGCGTGAGCGGCCCGTTGCAATCCCCACCCTCGTCCCCTTCGTACGTCCCCAATGAACCACGCCGATCCTCTCGCTCCTCTTTCTATCTTCGGTCTCCCCTCTCTTTTCTCCACCTTCTGGCAATCCGATCTTCATCCTTCTCCTTCCTTTTCATTCGAGCCTCTTCCAGTCCCTCTTATCAAACCTGGGCATTGACGGCTGTGGCGCGAAACTTTTGAGGAGCTGTCTTACTGCTTGGCCAGAGTACAGGTGACGTGGACGCAGACCACCGAGCATCCTGCGTGGATCGAAAATCCAGAGTTGCTGATCATCCAAGCTTGGAGGACTAACGTGGAAGGCGATCTTCTTGGTTTTCTCTTTGGATCGGTACAGCCGGGGCGCCGCCAGCTAATTGCACAGGATCTCATCGCGCGGATTGTGCAGTTGGCGGACGATCTCTCACCCGACATCTATTCGCAGAGTCACGACAGTCCTGCTTCACACGTTCTCGAGCGGTTATTGGATCCGTATCTTCAGTGGACTGCGTGCTTGGAGGAGCCCTGGGACGAAGATACGCTGCCATCGCGGCAGGAGTATCTGAAGCCGTACGATATCATCCCTCACGCCTTCTATCCGAGGGCGGCGGAAGTGGTGATCGACGACGACGACGAAGAGGACGAAGACGAGGAAACATCGGAGGAGGGCGAGCTGAGTGAAGAAGAAGAGGAAGAAGAAACCGAGTCTGAGTGGGAAGCCTTGCCGGAGGAAGTGACGCGCACGGGAACGGAGGTGGAAGATCCGGAAGCAGTGCGAGAGCGCGAAGAAATCGCCACCGGGAAGCGCCAGTTGGAGTTCACCAGCGGAGCCAGCCTGCGCATCGGTAATGATCCGACCAGGGATCCGGAGCCACCGGAGCCCGAAGATGGCGACCCTGCGGCCGCCACCTCAAGTGCCGCGCGATGGAGATGGAGCCGATCCCCCTCCTCCTCCAGCCCCACCCGTCCCCCAATTCGCCCACGTACCGATGCGGGCGATAGGCCTTCGTCCTCGGATGCTATTCCGCCGACCCCTTGATTTTCTCACCCTCGAACAGATCCGCACCCCCGTCACATTCCCCCTCCACCCCTTCCTCCCCTATCTCTTCCGCGATTTCTACTCTACCCGCCTACTCGCTACCGTCCACCTCCACGCATCTTTTCAGCCCGCTGCCCCTACGTTCTGCTGGCATATCGTATTGTTCAGCACTGCATGGGAACGATGCAACGTGGTAGAAGTTTATTGCGTAGCCATGGGGATAATCCCCGTTTGTCGCCACTATGAGTTCTTTCGAGCGGCGCTTTTTCGCACCCTCTCCTCCTTCTATAGCGACTACCTCGCCTTTCTCCCTCGCAGCGGCGATCGCTTCCCTCACTTCCACCGGATCGCTCGATATGAGGAGGTTCCGGTAACGATGGAAGGGATGAATCGCTACCCTCCCCCACTTCCTCTACGTCGTCCCCGTGAGATCCCCTCCATGTACGGATTTACTGGCCCATTCCGACTAGGAGATAGATCCCGATCACGTGACTATTCCCCCTCCCCCTCCTCTCTTCATCTAATCGGCAGAGGAAAACGGCCCGAATCTGTAAGCTACGCGAAGATCACTCCATCGACGATGAAGTCAACCTACGCTCTGATTCGACGGGCAGCGATAAATTGGGGTGCAGAGCACACGGAGAACCGGCGGACGATGATGGCATCACCTGGATAACCATTGATGATTCCAGCAGCTCTAGCCCATAGAAGATTGCAATTGAAGTTGGCGTCAACATGGACTCTGGCTGGATCATTTGTTAATGCGCTTGGTTCCTCATTGCATCGGGCCTTCATCTGCCCTGACCCACAACCATGGCCCATTTGGCTATTTGCCAGTTCGGCCTGTGGGACCAAGCCGTGGCCTGATCCCATAGGTCGTGTGGTTATTCAGTCCAGTCCAGTTCTACCCGGTACCACTATCGGTACTAGGCCAGTCCAGTCCAGTCCAGTCAGTCCGCTGGGGGTATACCCCATCTGCGTGTTGAGTCTGTGTTGGAGCTGCGCTGTCCCTTCCAGCTCCATCTTCATCTCCCCTATCCTCATCCCTTCGTCTTGATCCTGACGGACCGCCATCCCGGCGGGTCCGTCATACTGGTATCAGAGCAGGCTTTTCTCACTGCTCCTCTCCCCCACCCACCCCACCTATCAGTTGCCACGCGGCTTGAGCAA